TTGTCACGCAGTAATTAGTTTCGGCTTTCGTCAGAGTGCGGCTAGCGTAGGCTACAACGTATTCTGAATAGCTGGGCTTTCGTTGAGCGAGGACCGCGCCTAGCCCGACGCCGCTGGCGTCGGTGTGCACTTCGGTAGGAGCCGTCGGGTCGAAGTGGCGAAGAATAAATGGAGAAGTGAGCAGACGGCGCAGAGTAGTGAAGGCAACGTCACATGCAGGGGACCAGGAGGTGAGGTTCACGTCACCACGAAGAATCTGGGTTAACGGTGACATGATAGATGCAAAATTTCGAACAAAGCGCCGGAAATAGAGGCATAGGCCTACAAAACTGCGAAGTTCTTTCATGGTCGTTGGCATGGGAAATTCTGCGACTGCTCGAAGTTTTGCTGGGTCTGGTAATACGCCGTGCTTGGACACGATGTGGCCTAGGATGACGAGCTCGCGTGCAGCGAAGCGGCATTTTTTCAGGTTAAGCTGCAGACCAGCGTTGGTCAGACAACTCAAAACGTGCCTGAGGCGAAGCAGGTGCGTAGGAAAGTCATGGGAGAAAACCACGACATCGTCGAGGTAACAGAGGCACATATTCCATTTGAGGCCACGTAGCGTATTATTCATAAGACGTTCAAACGTGGCAGGCGCGTTACAAAGCCCAAAGGGCATGACGTTAAATTCGTATAGTCCGTCTGGTGTAATAAATGCCGTTTTTTTGGCGATCGGCTTCTGCCATTGGGACCTGCCAGTAGCCAGACCGCAAATCTAGCGACGAGAAAAATTCCGCTCCGTGGAGGGTGTCAATGGCGTCATCAATGCGCGGCAAAAGATAGACGTCCTTGCGGGTTATCTTATTCAAACGACGATAGTCCATGCAAAATCGGATAGATTCGTCTTTCTTACGCGCTAGGACGACGGGAGACGCCCAGGGACTGTGAGATGGTCGAATGACGTCTCTACGAAGCATATCTTCGACTTGATCGTTGATGACGCGGCGCTCTTCAGCGGAGACACGGTACGGTCTTTGACGCAGTGGCTGCTGTAGGCCGGTGTCAACATGATGTTTGACTTGTGATGTGCGGCCCAGTTGAGGTTGCGACACAACGAACGAACTCCTGAACTCATGCAGAAAATCCAGCAGGTCGGCATTTTCTGTGGGAGTGAGAGTGTCGGCGATGGCGCTGGAAAACGTATCATTGGACGACTCCCCGAGTGCCGACAGTGCTTTTGGGTGGTCGCAGTAGTCGTCCAGGACATCAAACAAAAACGAAGGGTTGAGATCCTGCACGCGGCCGAGACATTCCCCCGCAAGCAATCTGACAGGTGTGGAAAGCGGATTGCTTACGAACATGTTGCTTCTTCCGGCGGCAAAGTCAATGGTTGCGAAAGGCAGCGGCAAAGCTCGACGACATTTGAAGATATCGGAAGGCATAAAAAAACTGTAGCATCAGTGTAGGCGTTGCATGAAACGGGAACAAGGGCAAAATTTCCAGGCGGAATATTGGTATCTTCGTGAGCGAGCGACTTCGGCGGCTGATGAGGAGCGTCCAGTAATGGGACATCACACAAGGGTGAAAACTCAACGGCGCGTGCGCAGTCTATGACGGCATTATGGCGGGATAGGAAGTCCCACCCGAGGATGACGTCATGCGAACAGACAGGAAGAACAATAAACTCCACGATGTAAAGAATGCCTTCGATGGAGACTCTTGCAGTGCAGGCTGCGAGAGGCGTTACTTGCTGTGTGCTTGCGGTGTGAAGCGACAGTCCCGAAATCGGCGTCGTTACTTCGGGTAATAAACGGCAGAGATTAGCGCCAATAACAGAAACAGCGGCGCCAGTGTCCACAAGGGCGAAAGTACAATAACCTTCAACAGTTACTGCGACCACGTTTGCAGGAGAGGAGCGAGGGCTTAGACAGTTCAAAAACGGCGCAGTTCTTGCCTCTTGAACTGCGTTGCTTAGTTTTCCTGGTCGGAGGGTCCGGGCCGGCGAAGAATGGGGGAGGGCGATCGCCGACAAGGAGAAGGTGCGCGTTGCGGCTGGAAGTCAAGGTGCATAGCGCATAGCGAGGTGGCGAGACTGGCCCGTATTGGACGAAGGGTTGGCTGCAGGGATGCGACGACTGGGCGTAGTTGCCGAACGTCTCAGGTCTACGGTGGCAGTAGCGAGCAACGTGTCCGGGAGTTAAGCAAGCGTAGCAAATCGGTCGGTTATCGGGCGTCCTCCAGGGATTGGCGACTGGTGCTGCCGCCCAATGTGCAGTATAAGCAGCCGTGTGCGGGCTGTGAGCGCGTGGTGTAGGGTGGTTGCGGGAGCCTACGTACAGCGTCTGCATATGTGAGCGGCGCGGCTACGGGCTGCATCTCTTGCGAAAAGGCGACAGGAGGAGCCACAGGCTGCGTTGCATAGGTTAGGGGCACGGCCACAGGCTGAACGGCTGGCGGATAGGCGACAGAAGCGCCTACCGGCTGTGCGACACCCGGGCAGTGACCACGGCTAGATATAGGTGGCTCGTAGTGCGCAAGAGGAACAGCTTGTGAAACCTCTTCCGATATAGCAGTGCGAAGTGGGGCAGGTAAACGGGTGGTGGTCTCGTGAATAAAGGGCACTACGGAAAGTTGGCGGGCGACTTCTTCACGGACGAAGGCTCGGACTTGCTGAAGAAATGGTGAATTGTCGGGCATGGAGTCGAAACTGGACAGCAACTCTCCACCAGGCTGAGGCTGCCTAGTCAGAGTGCGTTGCTTCTTCAACTCGTCGTAGCTCTGACACAAGCTGACGACTTCAGAATCTGTGCTTGGATTCCTTGCCAAGAGCCTTTGAAATGCGCCGTCGTCGACGCCCTTCAGGATGTTTTTGATCTTGTCAGATTCGGGCATGGTGTCATTCACACGTCGACAAAGGTCGACGACGTCCTCAATATAGCTGGTAAAGGTCTTGCCAGTCTGCTGAGAGCGGACGCGCAAGCGCTGTTCTGCCCTCCGCTTGCGGACAGCCGGCCGACCGAACACTTCAGCACATGACGTCTGCAAGACGCTCCATGTGGGGATGTTGTGTTTGTGGTTATTAAACCACAATTTGGTGACGCCAGTGAGACAAAATATTGTCACCAATCTTGTCTCACTCAAGGAAACCTTCCGCAGAACTGCTCGTCAAGCTAGGACAAAAAAGAAAAACTGCTCCAACCCAACCTCTTCGTCCTCTTCCACACGAAAACCACGCGAATTCATGCGGCATTAAAAAGCGGCTCAATCCCAACCTCTTCGTCCTCTTCCACACGAAAACCACGCGAATTCATGCGGCAATATCACGTGGCCCAGCTTGTCGGCTTCATCCCACTTATTGTTGGCGCTCACCAGTTCGTAGTGCTCGAGCCAGTCTTCGACGTCGGTCCCATCCGCACCGCTGAAGACCTTCGCCTCCCGTAGTCTAGGATGGCCAGGGCAGTTGAACTGGAGCGAAGGCGTCGATGTAGTGGCGTTGGCAGTCATGACAGGTGGTAGCGTGTGGCTTGGCAGCTCCAGGGTGTAGCAACGGGGATTAACAGCACCTTCCACCAAATGTGAGGAGGTTTATTAGCCGTTAAAGATAGCGACGAGACAGCGTGAAGAACCATCCAGCGATCGGCACAGCAGCGAACCGAAGCACGAGCCGAGAGAGCCGGGCGTTGGCGATGCTGCCCGCTGCAGGCACATCTTCTTCACAGTTTGTTTGTTTGTTTGTTTGTTTGATTGTTTGTTTGTTTGTTTGTTTGTTTGTTTGTTTGCTTGTTTGTTTGTTTGTTTGTTTGTTTGTTTGTTTGTTTGTTTGTTTGTTTGTTTGTTTGTGCACTCGATCATTCAGTTTTTAACGCGTGTGAGCGAAAAAACTTTCTTTGGTCCACAACATTCATGTGTCCAAAATCTGCGGTACTTCGGAGAAAGCTAATCACCACCGCTAACACCACTAGAAGCAATGGCAACAATCCATGAATGTCACCCGAAACTCCCTTCTTACCCACAAGTTTGGGATGTTGAAATTTTTTTCGGCATTGGTATTGGAGTTTTTCTCCTTTTGTTCTGTTCGCTAGCTTTGCGATGTAGCTCACCATTGGCTTATAGGCCATTCGCGCCACCGGATACCCTTTCTATCAGCTTGGAGTTAGGAAGAGATAAAGATGGGGGCAGCAGCTTAAGGCACACCTGCATAGCCAACTGCCAATTTATTTCTGACACAAGAATTATTGGTTGCTTTACTCCCAATCAAAAGTTGGTATATCATACTTTCCTCACCTATGATTTAATCGTACGTAGCTGCTCCAAAATATTATCTAAACAAAAGGTAACTATTTTCACTCAGAATAAATAAGGAAATAAAAATTAATAAATATAGCTGGCTTCAAAAACTGGAGCTCACACTTACCTTGCTTGCGTGATCCTTTAGTTTAGGATCATACCCACAACAAGGCATTGGGCATGAAACAGATGGTTTCTATAAAGAGAAAAACTTCGAAATTAGAAGAATAAAAAGGAATATAAAATATAAAAATTAAGAATAAATAATTTGTTACACAAGTTAATTATTCTTCAATTTTCATATCCGCTCCACGACCAGTTGATTGCTTTTTATTTGTCTAATTTCGACATTTTTCTGTTTATATAAACCGTCTGTTTCATGCCCAATGCCTTGTTGTGGGTATGACTCTAAACTAAAAGGTCACGCAAGAGGGGGGGAGGTAAGTTTATTTACAGAAAGGCAGAGAGGTCGGCCTGAGCGATAGCTTGCTCTAGCCTGCTACTCTAAACTGGGGGAAGGGAAAGGGAAAAAGAAAGATTAAAAAGATCACGCAAGCAAGGTAAGCGTGAGCTCCAGTTCTTGAAGCCAGCTATATTTACTAAATTTTATAACATTATTTATTCTGAGTGAGAATAATTACCTTATGTTTGGATAATTTTTTTTTTACCAGGCTACCTGGGTCTTCGTTAGTTCCCCACTGGAGGTATGGGGCACGATCTTCCGGTACCTACTCCGCTCTTCGACAAACATAGCAACTCCCAGCGCGAAGAGCAAGTAGCCCCGGTCAGGCTTCAGCTATGGAGGTCCACAGCGACGAAGATGTGCCAGCCGAAGAAGAGCTACCACCGAAGCCCCTTCCATTGGCCCACAGGCTGGTTCCCGTCGGCGCCGCCCCCGTAAAGCCGGGCAACATTCCCCCAGCCCCAGAGTACGAGAATGACTCTGTGTATCCCGAGGATGCCGTGGCAAAAGAGAACAAGCACGCCATGCAGGTTGGTCATCCGCATTACTTTTTAAAGGCAAAGATTCCAAGCAGATTGTAGGAGATGCATTTTCAAGCAATGACACAAGCGCCGCTTAAATGATGTCACAGTGCCCTTAGCTGCTTAGCGAAGGCGTGTTTCCGCTTGCTGTCATCGTCCACGACCAGTGGTGGTGGTTCATGCGCCTTGAACAAAACTACCGCATTTTGTAAAGACGGTAGTATTTCTTGAAGACCTTCGACGCAAGAATGTTGGTCTGTCTGTCTGTCTGTCTGTCTGTCTGTCTGTCTGTCTGTCTGTCTGTCTGTCTGTCTGTCTGTCTGTCTGCCTGCCTGCCTGCCTGCCTGTCTGTCTGTCTGTCTGTCTGTCTGTCTGTCTGTGCAGCTGTCTGTTTGTCCACGCTTAACCATACCGGGTATACTGTATGGCGCCAGCCGATACCCCAAACAGCCGACTCCATCCGCAGCGCCCACCAATCTTGCTCAAGTTTCAGCGTTCATACTTGTGCGATTGTTAATTAAAAAGCAATTATTGCGCATATCTCAGGCACCATAACAACACGTATATAGTCTGTATGTGCGTTTTTAGCTTGAAAAGGCATACATAGGTGATTCTAAGGACCGTAGCGTTTGTCAAGATGCGCTGACCATGCAACGCTTGCACAAAAAGCGAGTGTTTCCAACGCTTTTTCAAGACGACACGGTGGTGGCACCTACCCGTCACCTTGCGTTCTACACCTTATCACCTCTGAGACGGGCGCGCGCGCCCGTCTCAGAGCCACGCGCTTCGTTTTCCAAGAAAACTGCCAGATGGTGCTCATGTCTCACGTGTGACGTGACTTGATGCGTTCGTTCGCCTTTGCTGCACGCTCGAGGCACTCTAACGCAGCGCCTCCAGAATACCATTCACCGATTTTCTTGCGCAGAGCATCAAATAAACGTTTTAATCACTCTCTCCAGACGCAAGACTATCGTCTTTCGACGATATTTGCAGATTAACATGCAGATACGGGGCCAACTTTTTTCTTCTTTTTTTAGGGAACAAGTTCACAATAGCCGTGTAATGCTTAAGAAACAGTAAGATCGATCAAAGGGGCTCAACGTGGAATTCTTAGCAGATGCGGAATTTTTTTTTTTTTTTGGCGTAGACAGTAGACTGAAACAACAGCCGGGTACAGACCATACAAGAAAGTCCACACTCCATCCCCACAGCCCCGCCGCGGTGGTCTAGTGGCTAAGGTACTCGGCTGCTGACCCGCAGGGCGCGGGTTCGAATCCCGGCTGCGGCGGCTGCATTTCCGATGGAGGCGGAAATGTTGTAGGCCCGTGTGCTCAGATTTGGGTGCACGTTAAAGAACCCCAGGTGGTCAAAATTTCCGGAGCCCTCCACTACGGCGTCTCTCATAATCATATGGTGGTTTTGGAACGTTAAACACCACAAATCAAATCAATCAATCCATCCCCACAAACTAATGTGCAACCTGGTTGTGGTAGCACGGGTAGAAGAGCGGGCTTTTCGTCTCTCGCACTCGACCCGTGCCACCCTGCGTGGCAGGTGCGAGGACGGACTCAATCTGTGGACGTTGCTTCACGGCAGCTGCTGCTTGGCGCATGCGCGGCTAGGCGAAGTTAGACCCAGGTGGCGCGCAGCAGTGGCTAGGTTCGGCTTCAGCTTGGTTGTGGGTTAGGAATGGTGCAAGGGTTTTCTGCAGACAGCCGACGTTTTAGCTCGATCATTAGGAGCTTCGCTTTCAAAAGAATATTGTTGCCTCTCATCTGATTTTTCACTCAATCCGCGATAGCATTGAATGCATTAAAAACCTTAATATGCAGGGAATAAGTGACTTTTGGTGAGGGAAACACTCATCTGCTCGGTGGCTGTCCGTAAACTCAACGCGAGACGCGTGTTGGCCTTATTCGGACGTTATCCTTTCGTGGGCACGTGCTTCTCTAGATACGATCGGCAGCGTGGGTAGGTTCACAGCGGCTTTGAACACATATGGCAGGCGAGCCTTTCCTAATCGTTTGGATGCCTCGGCAACGCATAATTACTCATTTCTCGGCGAAGCTTGTCTACGTTCGTTTTTGTAAAGCAGTTTTAACAGGAAGGACATGAAGAAGCGCATTCGTGAGTCGGCTAAAAAACTTTATATACGACATCCCGGAAAGAAACAAGAAGTTCAGGCCCAGTAGCAAAAAAATTGTGAAGAGCCAGTGTACAGGGAAGTCGTTCAAAGCCATTACTGCGTAATTACGAAACTCTTGTCATTACTTGATTTTAGACGTTTCATGGACGCCATGTCTCGTTTGACAGCAAACATTAAATGTGAATAGTCGCACTACTGAAAACCTAAGCGCTAAGACACGGACAGGGAAAGGAAACGACCACGGTATTTGGGTGATGTCATTGCTATTTATTCGGCGCAATTTTGCTCGGGCTTCAATACTTCATAATGCATTTTCAGCAACTAGTGAGTCTATTCAATTTACTGAGAAATTAGCCGATACATGCAAATTATAAACTGTACAGTGGCGCCCACTGTTAGAAGGAACACGTCTCAGTGTGGCAGCGCTCTGCGGAGCGCCTGTGCAGCCGGTGCGGCCGCGCATCGAATCGAAGCGTTGCAGGGGCACACGAGTGCGCCGCACTTGCTTTATTACATACAAACGAAACCACCGCTTGGCTACTACGAAATGATGTGTTCAAGCGATGTAGAAGACAACGTAAAGCACCTACCATGTGCCCAGTGCTCATGCGTCACTACGCTTCGATGCGCGGCCGCAACGGCATACTGGCGCTGCGCGGAGCGCGGCGACGCTGAGCAGTGTTCGCCATAACAGTGGACGGCACTGTACTTAACAATATGTCGTCCGTAACCTGAAAATTACATTTCATAAACATTGCGCATTACTTGTCTCACACGCCAAGCTACGTTTGTCCTAATCATTATGAGAGCACATATAATTTTGCCCTATACCAATACAGCCATATTTTCTGATATGCCGTAGAGAAAGGGTGCGCAAAATAAGAAACTAAGGTAAGCTACTTAGGCCCACAGTAACAGCAGACATTGCAGCACAATGTAGGAATGAATAATGAAACCACGTTTATTCACTTTGTTCACGCTGAGGGGCGCTGTGGTGGACAGGGACACTGTAGCTGAGGGATGGGGTAGGGCTGCCTCCGCTTTATTCAAGCCGCTTGAATGGCTTGAATGTTGTGGCTGTCGCGGAGTCGGTCACTGACCGGTGGCATGGCCGGGTCCTGGAGGAACGAGATGAGTACTAGCCAGAACTCCATGGCGCGATCTGGGGGGCCAAGGCTTCAGGCAGGACCATGTCCGGAGAGAAGAAGGTCAAGGTCCCCGTTTTATGGTGGTCAGGGTACGAAGACTAGGTGGGTTGTATACGGGGCACTACCAACACAAATGGTCGAGATCAACCCGGCAGTTGCACGTGGAAGAGAAACCTGTCACTGGTGGTGGTGCATTACCCCTGTGAAAACGGTTCGGCAATAAAGGAGTAAGGAGTCCTCCTGCCTGAATTCTCCGAACGAAGGTCTGTTCCTTCATACGCGTACAAAGCTTTAATGCTAAAGTGCGATTGAACTAGAGTTGCACAGTGGGCTTGTTGAAGATGCATTTAAAAGAAATTTTGTAGCGCGAGTCGAAATACGGAAACAGTAATGGATCGACGGAGAGGATAGAGCACACCAGCAACAACATGTCTATTTTTCAACTCAGATCGCTTTTAAACTATAATCGCCAAGCAGTCAAACAAAAAATTTCTTTGAAATGCGATTTAAATTGAGAGCGTCCACGCCTAATGTGCGGCCACCTCTTGTATTGAAACTTCATCCTAGAATTCATTCTGCAAAAAAATGTATATTGTAATAATAGCAGACCTACACGTACCGCATTCTGTTCACTATGCATGAGCACTCACAAAAAACGCGCGAGCGCGCGCGCGCGCGTGCGTGCGTGTGTGTGTGTGTGTGTGTGTGTGTGGTGTGTTGTGTGGTGTGTGTGTGTGTGTGTGTGTGTGTGTGCGTGGGTGTGTGTGTGTATGTGTGCGTGGGTGTGTATATGTGTGTGTGCGTGCGTGGGTGTGTGTGTGCGTGCGTGCGTTGTGTGTGTATATGTGTGTGTGTGTGTTGTGTGTGTGTGTGTGTGTGTGCGTGTGTGTGTGTGTGTGTGTCATGCAACAAAAATAATGAAGCAGCACAGAGGCTATGTAGTACTACGTTACATACAGAAAGTTTTTAAAGGTGGGGAGTGGGACATTAGTACATCGACTCAAAATAAAGAAAAAAGATAGCTGGTGTTTTCTACGCTTCACAAAAAAATTTGGGGACTTCAACTAGAACGACCCGGCACTGTCACCTACATGGCTCTGCGTTCTAAAGCAAACTTTCGTTTTTTCACATTACTGCCCGATGGCGCAGTAATCTCACACAGCGCCTCCAAATAGATCTTGCCACGTCCTTTGCAGCGAAGCGCGGAGATACGTGGTCAATTTTTTATAAGGCTATAGGGCAACAACAAGAAAGAAGATTTCATGTTTTTTTTTGTTTTTTTCATACTTCAAAATCCCAATGTTTTTATAGTTGGCTGGTCATGGTTGAGACACTTGCACTTTCGAAGCACGTTTGTTCGTCTGTAGTTTAAGGTTACCGTCATCGGAAAACCTGGCCGGGAATCATGAGCCCACAGACATACAGCACACATCTCCACTGTACTGCTGCTCTCAGGAAGATGTAAGAGCGAAAGTTTTTTGCGATTTTTAACTATATAAGGCCTTCCCTATTTGCAATCGCTGTAAGCAAGGGGGAGGGGAGGGGGAATAACTAGCAAATCGACCTAGAATTCCAATGCTTGAACGAGTAAAAAACGTTTTCGGTCGAACGTTCGACGTGTTTTAAGAAACCTAACTCATCGCTTAGCAAATCAGCAGTCTCAAACCTGGGTGCGTTTCCAACTAGTGTGTCCGTTAAGTCACGGTGCACTTACGATCGTTCGCAGGAAATCAGTGAAACAATAGATAAGCATGAAGCATTCCTCAGCTATAAGCAAAACGGTTTCCATAGTATGATGTGCACACACAGCGGATCATGCATCACTGCGAACTGCGTGACAGCAAATTAGTACATGTCAATCGAGATGTTCATAACATAAAGAAAAGTTCAGTGTTGTTCTGTTCGCCTGCTAAATGGGAATTCGAGACCACTAGTGCAATATGAATAGCGTCACGTGTACAACGAAGCGCCACAACATAACTACATTACACATAAGAAACACAGCATCACAGACGTTATTCACTGTGTTACACCACACGCCCTCAGCCATTGGCTGAAAGAAGTTGAATATCGGTTATATGCGTGTAAGGAGGTACAGCAAGGCTACATCGAACTTCTCTTAACACGTATGAAACTTGGTGAGTTCTTGTTTTATTCGGCGAAGATTTCCTGTTTATACCTTGCCTTGTTGATTTCCTGGTGACCTCACAAATGCACCATAATTTCACAGGCACACACTGCATCATTATCTAAAATGCGACACAAAACATCAGAGCTCTCTCATCTGGGTACGTGTTTTTATGCTCTGTGAAAAGCCGTTACGCTACGATGTCGCTACGATGTCTCTGACTATGAAGACATGTCTACCAGTGCGGGAATACCACGCACCTTCCGAAAACGTGACGATGTGTTCGTTGTCAATGACGCAGCCTCCTCAGCACAAAACGAGCCTGACGTTCATATTCGGCCTGGCCGTGGTCATCATCACCTTGACTGCTGTTGCCGCCTTGTACGCGATGGATCCAGCCAGGAACGTCGTGTCAGCCGCGACGACGACCCTGGAACCCTCCAACATAACCGGCATCAACGTCACCGGGAAAGCCCTTGTTGACGATTGAGTGAAGACTGCTGAGGCGTTAATAATGTAGACTGTCATCACGTATATGAAAAAGAAAATCTGCTGCCAGCGCTTATACGGCAGACAATGGGACGCTTCGGCAGTTCACGTATTTTTTAATGCAACATGTTGTAGCACTTACGTTCACACGCTGTTATTGTTCAGGGTACGCGACGTACACTTATTAACGTGGTAGAATAAATGTACGTGAGAGCTCGAGTATTGTTACAACTTAAGTAGAATGCCGCTTTTAATATATATTTACTTACAGTAGATCAGTTATATATATACTATTTGTACAAGTTTCACTAACTCACTCGTATAAGTAAAGAAATGCATTCCGGCATGGATAATTGATATTTTTAATGTTATAAAACGTTTTGGTTTATTGTGTTGGCAATAAATAACGTTACGATCTTACCTCGATTGAAGAGATTGTGAAGAATGTTTACTACGATCGAGGAAAATTTTATCAGAACCTCGTTTCAGAGCTGTATTCAAGTCCTACGCTTGTGTGGGTTCACAGATTTTGGTAGCTGCTTCCCAGATGTTCAGAAAAGACTGAGATCAGGAAATATTTTGGTCTGAGTTGTTTTTGAGACGGCATGCGGATGCTACGAGAGTAGTTCTCGGAGCTCAGCCGGTCCAACTTGGCGCCATGCAGCGAATGCTACAAATAGTTATTCTATTTCGAACCATATTCCGAAGTATAAGTGACTTTTTGCACCTCTTTTATGCTAGGGACTTGGTGGGTGGCGGTGCACGAGACTCGCATGCACTTCTCGTGCTCTCCAAGAACGCCCACTCCCTCACCAGAACATCAATCGGTCTCCCTGCCAGCACGTCCCGAATTCACCTCTTTACCACGCCCGGGCCCTCAGACTCCAGCAGCTGCTCAACACCATACCACGGATTGTGGTAGTCGGACGTGTAAAGCAGCAGTTGGTACTAAGAATTTCTGGAGTCGAATAGGCCGCTACTAGAAACTTAACCTTGGAAGGCTCGCACAGGATAGGGCACAGTGAAGATCGTTGGAGGACGCCCCGCAGTCGACTAACACTCGACTAACACAGGCTTATATTGATGATGAGATGAGGCTTCACCTTGGGGTTCCTTAACGTGCGCTGCAATTGCACACTACAACAGCCCCTTTCTTCACCTCCTTCGGAATGGGACCGCAGTGGCTGGAATCGAATCTGCGCCTTTAGGGTTCTGTGGCCGTTCACCATAACCACAGTTCCAGCTTTCCTCACAGTCCTTCTTTCCGTATGACAACAAGAAAATAAAGTTGAGTTATCGCCCACTACATGAGCCCCTTTCTTTACCTCTCTCGGAAAGGGACCGCAACGACTGGAATCGAACCCGCACCTTTCAGTTCTGTGGCCTATCACTATAACCACAGTTCCAGCTTTCCTCGCAGTCCTTCTTTCGGTATGACAGCAAGAAAATAAGCTTGAGTTATCGCCCACTACATGAGCCCCTTTCCTCACCTCTCTCGGAAAGGGACAACAACGACTGGAATCGAACCCGCGCCTTTCAGTTCTGTGGTCGATCACCATAACCACAGTTCCAGCTTTCCTCGCAGTCCTTCTTTCCGTATGACAGCAAGAAAATAAGCTTGAGTTTATTTGAATAGATATGTGGTCCCTGTAACTGCTCCGGAGGAGGAAGAGGAAAGAACTTTGAATTAATCAGTCCGGTGATTTCGAGGGGCGGGCAAATGGTCCCTCTAATACATTACGGCAAGGAGTCCTTAAATCCTGGTAGCTTTCTCGCAGGTGAAAATTATTCAGGTCGAGACAATGCCTGTTGGAAAACTGTGCCTAGACGGGCGCTCTCATTTGCTTAAAGAGCCTGCTGCCACCGCGCAATCTCAGATGCCATTGTAGAGGCGTTCTTGTTACTAGAAGCGACCACCGGAGGCGCTCGTCTACGTACTGTAGGAAGAAGGGAAGAGCTGAGGGCAGGAAAGCGCGTTCGTGGCTCACGTTCCAGGCGTACTTTTGTCTAAAGTTGTTGGAAAATTCGGCTCAAGATATTTCGTTTCCATGAACCCTTTAGGCCAACCGTTCTTGCGTACGTGAAATGTTTATTATCGCGAGCAAACTCAATGGTGTTTCCTATTTCATTGAATGCGTAGTCAAACAGTAGAGTATAGAGTTGTCTACGATTAGAGGCTTAATTTTTCATCGTTATTAGTTCGTGACAAAAAGACCTACGTTTGCTCGCGCAAACCATATCAAACTTCATGACGCTAACTAACTTGATGTACGAGGAAGCCTCGAAATTACGCGCAATATAGCAAGTTTTTATTCAGCGTTAATATGCGTTATATTTATATTCTCTGACACCCTTGATCGCTGCTCTTGTTATTCAACACAAGCAGCGTAAACGTCTGCGCGAAATTTCGGACTATTTGTTTATTGTTTTGAAATTTGTGAAATATATAGAACAGTTAAGCAGATATTTTTCATGGTGTGTAACAAAACACGATGGTATGACCAGGGTTAGCACACACACGAGTAACTATATCAATCTTTCAAACACTTTAATAACCTTCATTTCGCGTCTGCAAACCTGACCAGCTAAAAAGCTAGGCCTTCGGTCCTAACTCCCGGCTCACCATCTGGCGAGTTTGCACTGGCTTCCGTACACTTGCAAAGCGCCGACGTCGCTCACTTTGGCGAACTAATAAATTCCGCCTGACTCCGGCTTTGGCACTTTCGTTTCGCTTTCATGCGCGAAATTAAGCGGAATTCATTACCGCGCCGAAAAAACTACGGTGTCGTCAGCGTTTCGTAAATCTGGAAGCGGTTATGCAAATGAGGCAGTGGGGAAACCGACGGGTCTTTCGGTTCGTCTCCTCGTTCGCCGCACAACGAGGCTCTCAACTCTGGTAGCTTTGAGGGCTTTCGCGTGGAGTACACATTTCTCGGCGAGTTTGCCTACTTTGAGGTTGACGTACAATGTTATGCGAGCAGTACAATAAAACCATCGCCATGCCTGCGCACAACGCGTGGTAGACCCAGCGAAAGCTGGAAGAGCAGCCTTCTCTAGGGCATGTTTGAGAATACTCCTTTCCTAAGCTTCACTCGTAAAGCATTTCCCGCGTACACAGAGGATGTGGGTTTGGCTTTCACCGGCCTGCAAACTGCTTTCTCGTCCACTTTTATGTCTGACTCCGGCATTTCAGTGCCTAATGGGGTCTTGCTCCCCAAATCCACACATGATTATGAAGGACGCCGTAGTCGAGAACTACGGAAATTTGAACCATAATGTTCAATGACATCAGATAGTACACGAGCCCTCAAAATGAGAGCAGCATGGTCAGGGTCGAACCAATGAACTTCGGTCTTTCAGCCCCACACTGCAATGGCTTCACCACTCTGGCGGACGCATTTCAGTGTTTTTCTCTTGCGAAGTTTGATTCTGAAATTGTCTAGCTGTTTTGATTTTTAACAGCATGACTTAGCCCAAAGCCACAGCTGAATTCTAGAAGTATTTTCTAGTCTGCACTGCCTTTCTTGAGCTTCATGTATCCCGGTAAGGGTAAGATCTATGCTGTGACATTTGTCTTTGAAAAAGTGTGTGTGTGTGTGTGTGTGTGTGTGTGTGTGTGTGTGTGTGTGTGTGTGTGTGTGTGTGTGTGTGTGTGTGTGTGTGTGTGTGTGTGTGTGTGTGTGTGTGTGTGTGTGTGTGTGTTGTTATAAAATTTAATTGTCGGAAGGGCTGAGAAGCTCAGGATTAGGATCAGGATGTTGATTAGAATGTTATGGTTTTGTGTCACATAAGAAATGCTGAAGACCACACTCATATGTGTAGCTTACCCAAACAAAAATTTGGACGACAAGATAGTACGAGAAACATTTAGCAGTGTCACAAACAGTCAAAAAATGGCAGCATATAGACGGAGTGAATGATGGAGAGTGGGGCGAAGAATTCATCCGTCCATTCGTTCTTGCTTCCGTCCGTCCATGCGTCCGTCAGTGTGACCGTCCATGCGTCCATCAGCCCGTCTGTGCCTGCGTCTGTTCGTACGTCCGTCCCTGCGTTCGTCCATGCAGCCGCCCCTGCGTTCGTTCATGCGTCCATCCATGTATCTGTCTATGTGTCCGTTCGTCCATCTATTCAACACTCCAAGTACCACCATATCACATCTTTTCATCATATATACCCCTTATAGAAGCACCGCCATCCAGCGGACATTCCAAGGACAAAACGAGAGGTGGCACACGCACACTTTCTTACGGCTTGCGCTTCGGGTCCACTTCCCACCATTTACCACCTCGAGTTCATAGTATATACTAATTCACTCTATTTATGGCACTGCGGCTCAACGCTCGCTAAACCTTTCGAAAACCAAGGAGGTTACGTTCAGCGAGTATGACGTAGCAAACTTTTTCAGTCAGATAGTGCTCAATGTACATGCCAATGGCTGCTAATGGGAAATGAGAGGCGGAATATTCGGCTTTTACTTTCTTACGGCTTGCGCTTCGTATCTACTTCCCATTTTTAACCACCTCGAGCTCATTCATGATATATACAAGTTCATTGTATTCATGGCACTACGGCTCAACGCTCGCTAAACCTTTCTAAAGCTAAGGAAGTTACACCCAGCGAGTATAACGTAGCAACCGTTTCTTGTCAGATAGTGCTCAATGTACATGCCAATGGTTGCTAATGGTGATCGCAGCCTGCGCGTTAACTAAAAGCGGAATTTACCTGTCTCTCATTCCCCATTAGCAACCATGGACATGTACATTGAGCACTATTTTTTGTTGTTCAACAACGCACAGAAGAAGTCTCTCACCGGCACCACCTTGGAGGTCAAAATGTTGTACTTGTTACATACAACGGGGGACGAACGGGTGCCGCTATAAGAAGCTTCGCCCCTAAATATCACGAAAGAAAACTAAGATGAAGACATGCACGGGCCGTGGCTTGCAAGGAAGAGGCCCGCGCGTTTAACACCATTTCTCTACATATTGAATGTCGAACTCATTTTGGGAAACATCTTACATTGTTATCGGCGATCAATGCAATTCAGTTATTGTTTCCATTGATGACGCTACTCCCACGTCATCGCTAAATCATCTTCCAAGTGTCTTATAGCTAGCTACTTTTTGAACGTGCTTTTAGTCACTTTCGCACTCGTGCATTCTTCGATTTTCCGATCGTTAAAAGGGTTCTCTCAGTAGCTAGGATTAGCGAGTGGCAC